CTCGGGCCTCCCACCGCCAGGCGTGTTAACCTGGGAGGTGAAAGGAAGTACTTCTTAAAACTACTTCCGCACAGACGCCTTGGGTACCCGCGCGCTGGCGGGAACGAGATCGCGAGGCACACACCAGCGCCAGAGGAACCAAGACGCCCCAGTCAGAGTTCCTGCCGGAGCCGGTGCCGCGGAGCGCCGGTCCCTGAGACACACCACGGCGGTCCTCCCCGGCGCTGGTACGGTGGCCTGGGACAGCCCTCAAACACCCGACACAGCTCCGGTCCACACAGCGCCTGAGCTTTTCAAACGGCGCCCACCCCGCGTCTCGTCATCTTCGCGCCTCAAGACTCAGGAGCGCGTCGTCCCTAGTCTATCTGGCAGTGAGGACCCCTCCTCTTTCCAGTGCCCCAGGGACTGCGGTAGGTGGTGGGTTGTGGGCCGGGCTGAGAAAGGGACAGAAGGGCCAAAGGTGGGGTACTGGGGGATAGTGAAGGACTAAGGGGATGATGGGGGACCTGGAGAGGACGGTGGGGGCGTAAGGGGAATAAGAGGGCCTAGGGAGATTGTGGGAATCTAGAGGAGATAATGGGGGCGTATGGTGATGGTGGAAACCTGGAGGGAATAATGAAGGGCCTAGAGTCTAGGTCAAGGAGGACTCTAGGAGCCCTAGAGGAACCATGGGGACCTGGAGGGGATGATGGGAGCCTAGGGGGATGGCGGAGACCTGAAGGATGGGGGAGGGAGGGCTGGAGAGATAGCGGGGACTTGGAGGGGTTGGTAGTTGCCTGGAAGATGCTAGGAGGGATTGTGGAGTAATGGGAAGACTTGAAAAGAGGGTGTGGTGATCAAGGATGGGGATTTGAGCTTGCATATCCCACAGGCCTAAAATGGAGGGACATGAGTGGAAAGGTGGTGGGGGTGACATGTCATGTCTCAACATATGGGAGAAATCAGTGTCCTACCCTCACAAACCTACCCACCTCAGCATGGAAAGAAAGAGACCAGACTGGTTACTGTGTGAACTTGTCAGATTGAATACATGTATGTGGAGCGTCAGCAAGAGAGAACAGAGTTGGGCAGAACTTCACACATCTCCAACATAGTAAGGCAGAAGAAAAAGCAAATAAGACCTCTCTCCCATTTCCTGGAGGGAAAGATGCATCCTCCCTCCCCCTCCTCCTTCACTCCTCCTTCCCTCCCCTCTCCCTTCCCTCCTCTCCTGCTTCCTTCCCCCCTTTCCCTTCCAACTCCCCCTTCCCCTCCCTCTCCTCTTTCCCCTCAACTTCCTCCCCTTCCCCTTTCCTCTTCCTTTCTACTTTCTTTAAAAAGCAATGGAAAAAATATCCTTGGGTGAGGATTAACAACAACAAAAAAGAACATGGGAGAGATGGGACTGGGGGTGGATATTGTGTGGCAAGTGGAGCAGTGGGAGGTGTGTGATCTGTGTCCCATCTGCCTGTGTGTTTAAGGTGTGGCATTCTTCATTGGGCTGGTTAGTTTAGGGCAGACAGTCAGAACACAAGGGGAAGGCTAAATGGAGAAAAAGAGTCACCCATAATCCCATCCAGAGATGAGCATGTTTTCCGTTTTGATGTAGAGCTATCATTCCAGATATGTGTTCATTCATTTATTCATTCCTTTGTATCCTCTTCCTCCCTGCACACTCACACAGTTGTGGATCATGGGGGGCAGAGGGGCAAAGTATTCATAAGTATACTAGTATAAAGATTTGGGAAATATGGGTCAAAGTTTTCCCCATGGGAGAAATGAAATTCAGTTGGGTATTGCCTGGGAGGAATCCAGCTCCTGAAGGTGTGTGGTTGAGAGTAAATTTCCTAAGAAAGGGGAGGCTTTGGGCCAGCAGGTCCACATGCTCCCCAAGGTTGTCCCTCAAGGGTAAGAGATAGGCCCTTTTTTGAGCATTGGCTGTTCCAGGCATTTGTGTTGTATTTCGCCTAGCCCACACGGTGACCTTCTAGCACGAGCAGTGTCACCACCACTGTACACACAAGTCTCTGACAGAACCAGTGAGAGCAGGTCTGTGTCCCTCAAAGGCCACTAGACGGCAGCCTTAGCATCACCTGGAACTGGTGAGAAATGTACATGCTTGGGCCCCACTCAGACATACTGTGGTCACATCCTGGGGAGTCACATCCCTGGGGTTGGGTACTTTCCTGTGAAACACCCCTCAGAGGGTCAGCGAGAAAACAGCAGGAGGGAGTTTAAAACTAAGCACTTTGTAGTGTTTACTTTTGTAGGAAATGCAGTGGGAATTACATAAAGTCCTATTTACTCTGAGGAGCTAGTAAGATGGGGCACGCCCTGTGAATACACCATGCTGCTACAGTAAAACATCCAAATAGCACTTGGAACCTCCCAGGTTGAAAGTGGGTGCCTCTGAGGAGCAGGAGATGAAGGTAATGGAAAAGGCTGGCCATGGCACCTGGAGACACTGCTCCCACTGTTCTGACTCTAAGCCTTCTTGTGGTCAGGAGTTATTGGAAGGTGTGTAAAATGTTGCTGGTTCTGTTACTCTGGAAATTAACTAAAAATAGGTGTTTACTTGATACTTTTTCACTGTAGGCACAGTTCTGATGCAAGAGCTGAAAGAGATGTTATACTAAATGCCGTGCATCATAAGTGTGGTCCAGTAACCTAGAGCATCATTCTGCCGATGAGCTCCAAACATCCTGGGGAGCCTTGTCATGAGCTTCCCTTCCCATTTCAGCTCTATTTTCAGGGTTCATGCAAGTCTGTAAGTCTTTCACTAGAAGATGTAGGTTCTAGATTACAGCAGGTGAGGACCAAGTAAGGACTCCAGAACTCAGCACATATCGGACCTGCATCAGCACATAAAGGAGGAAAGCAGTCCACAGTGGACAGTTGATGTTTCCACATGGCATGGGATTCACTTAGCACAGTGATGGCGAACCTATGACACGCATGTCAGAGGTGACATGTGAACTTATTTTTTTGGTTGATTTTTCTTTGTTAAATGGCATTTAAATATATAAAATAAATATCAAAAATATAAATCTTTGTTTTACTATGGTTGCAAATATCAAAAAATTTCTATATGTGACACGGCACCAGAGTTAAGTTAGGGTTTTTCAAAATGCTGACATGCCGAGCTCAAAAGGTTCGCCATCACTGACTTAGCAGATACTTCCTGGGTGCCTGGATGTGCTGGCACTGTGCACAAGGCAATCTCCGCATGATGTTTGCTTCTCCAGTATGCAGACCCAGTTGTCCCTCATGTGAGCACATTTATAGGCTCTTAGGAGTTGTGGTGAGTGCTGTGGTTGATGAGGGCTCCATGATGAGGCTCCATTTTGGGAGAGATGATGTCACTGGGGCAAAGGCCATTCAGTGTCCTGGAGCAGCAGGTTCAGGGTTGACCAGGGCTGTGAGCATGCTGCTGTGATGGAGGCCTGAGATACTTGGCCCCCAACATTTGTCAGACATGAAAACACTGAAAGCCTGAAAACCATGGTGACACTGATGTCATAGTCAACCCCTAATTCTGAAAGTAGAGACCTTTGGCATTTTTCACAATCTAGCAGGTTGTGTGCATGGTAGGTATGTTGGTCATAACCGGCTGGGGCCTGTGGCACCTGCGTCCTGTCCTGTGAGAGGTCAGTCCCACGCAGCCATGTTCTGCATTTTGTCTGTGCTTGTCTCAGAATACCCAGGTGAGTGCTCCTCTCACTAGGGAGAAAGGGCTGATGAAGATGCAGGTGCCTTAAGGTTCCCTCTATCCTGCTTGAGCCGTTGGCATAGAGGAAAGGCAGGCCCAGCTACTCTTGCCCCCACGATGAGCTTCTGCAAGGTCCAGCGTGTGTGGAGAGCTCATAGGTCAGGCCCCTCAAGAAGATACCACTGTCCTCTGTTCAGAGGTCAGGAGTCAGACAGCTGAGGAACTCCTTGCTGACTTGCCAGTGACATAAGAGCGTGGACTTTCTGGCTCCTTCAGAGTCTCCTGGGATGAGAGTGTGAGGCTGTTGTTGCCTGCATTTTTATTTTATTTTATCTTTTCACCCTTTTTTTTTCTTTTTAAATCTTTACTGTTGAGAGTATTACAGATGTCCCCATTTTTCTCCCCCATTGGCCCCCCCCCCCGCCCACACCTGGTTCCTATCCCGCCCTGCCCCAGGCCTTTACCACCCTTCTGTCTGTGTCCATAAGTAAGATCTTTGGTTAATCTCTTCCTGCCCCCTACCCCCTTCCCTCTGAGATTTGTCAGTCTGTTCCATATTTTCATGCCTCTGATTCTATTTTATTCACCAGTTTATTTTGTTCATTAGATTTCTTGTTGGTTTATTTTGATTTTCAGATTTAATTATTGATAGATATGTATTTATTACCATTTTATAGTTCATATTTTTTATTTTCTTCCTCCTCCTTCTCCTCCTCCTCCTCCTCTTCTTCAAAAATACCCTTCAACATTTCATGTAATACTGGTTTGATGGTGATAAACTCCTTTAGCTTTTTCTTATCTGTAAAGCTCTCTATCTGACCTTCAATTCTGAATGGTAGCTTTGCTGGATAAAGTAATCTTGGTTGTAGGTCCTTACTGTTCATCACCTTGAATATTTCTTGCTACTCCCTTTTGGCCTGCAAAGTTTCTGTTGAGAAATCAGCTGATAGTTGTATGGATGCTCCCTTGTAGGTAATGGACTGCTTTTCTCTTGCTGCTTTTAAGATACTCTCTTTGTCTTTAACCCTTGGCATTTTAATCTGATGTGTCTTTGTGTGGGCCTCTCTGGGTTCCTCCTATTTGGGACTGTCTGCACTTCCTGGACTTATAAGTCTATTTCTTTCACTAGGTAGGGGAAGTTTTCTGTCATTCTTTCTTCAAATAGGTTTTCAGTATCTTACTCTTTCTCTTCTCCTTTTGGCACTCCCATAATGCAAATGTTGGTATGTTTGAAGTTGTCCCAGAGGTTCCTTACACTATCTTCATATTTTTTTAATTCATTTTTCTTTTTGCTCTTCTGATTGTTTTTTGCTTCCTCATATTCCAAATCATTGATTTGATTCTCAGAATCCTTTCCTCTGTTGTTGAATCCCTGTAAATTATTCTTTATTTCAGTTAGTGCAGTGGTCGGCAAACCGTGGCTCGAGAGCCACATGCGGCTCTTTGGCCCCGTGGCATGGGCCACGAAGTTTCAATCGCACTGTACGTGCGCGCCCGCACGTGATATTTTGTGGAAGAGCCACACTCAAGGGGCCAGTTTGCCGACCACTGAGTTAGTGTATGCTTAATTTCTGACTGGTCCTTTTCAGCCTCCCCAGTCACCTGAGCTGGGCACTCTAGGTGTACCCCTGTGTGGGCTGTGTGCATAGTATTGTTGTAGTTGAGCCTTGATTGCTGTTGATGTCACTGGGAGGAGTTGACCTCCAGGCCAATTGGCTGTGA